CCGGTGTTCGGGAGGTCATGGGTTCGATTCCTGTCGGGGACTCAGAATTTTTCTCTGTCCCACGCTCGTGTCATGTTGATTAATTCACCTTCACAATTTGAAATATTTTCGTTTGAAAATGAGAAAAACCTCTCAAATACTCCATTCACTCATTCATTTGTTCATTGAGTTGCAGTTTGGACCAAGACACTAAACGGAGGTACACGTACTTTACTGATCAAAAAACATTGGTTAATCAATAACAGTGCACCCCAGTACCCTTTGAGGTACATCAATGCTGCTCGCTCATAAACTTAAGGAAAGAAGCAGTTTCTTTACCAAATGTCACGTGGCCTCAATGTAGCCAAGGCGACCACGCACTGCTATAGGAAAATGTCAAGTATACAACAATGCGACTTATGCACCTACCACGTGACTAGGAGGAGAAAAAGAGCAAATCCCAGGAGATTAACAAGCTCTCGCACTGCGTAATTTGCGTAGAAATCCTTTAGTAGCTGAATGGAACTTGCGTTTAGTCCGTTATACAACAATCCTGCAGCAAACCTGTAAATATTTCAACAATCTGAGTCAGTAAAGGAATCCACTTGCAGCTCCAAATTTCGTTCTGCTGTTCTTTTTAAGTAGTCGTGATTTAGAGAAACGTTCGCCTCCCCTGAACAGTATTCTCCAACGAAGCCACAGATAATTTACTCTTTGAAAGTCTTATTCACAATCACGATCTACTAGTTCTCACAACAACCTTATTCTCGTTTTTGACAATGCTCCTTTAAAAAAAAAAAAAAAACACCGCATCGGGTTAGATTACACAAGTATTAATTTAAAGATAAACAAGAGTGGTGGTACATAATTGTCTCGCTTTATCACTAAATTTATCTCCGGACATATCTGCGGAAGTCGCTAGTGGACTAATGGAAAACTTTTGCAGTAACCGATAACAACAGCGGCTAACTCCTCTCATCGTTCACTCAGTAGTTGTCACTTAACTCTTAGCAGTACAAAGTTTACCGACAGTCACTGTTATTAGCGTCGTTGTCATCTCATCATGTTTCATCGCAGTTGTAAAGGTCGTAAGTCGTCACCATCATTATGTTAATCAATCATCATCATCGTCGTCATCGTCATCGTCATCGTCATCACTATCATGTTCATCATCAACGTCATCGTCTTCACCACTACCATCCCCAACATTACCTTCGTTATCGTCGCCATTATCATCATTGTCATCGTCATCGTAATCATCACCGTCATTGATCGATCCCATCGAGGATGAGAAATGAATAATGAATTTCTTTTGTTTTATTTCGCTAAGCCTTGGGACCAAGTTTTAATTTTAATATACTGAAATTGGCCCATTCCGACACCAAAATGAAAATGACATGAAGATTGTACGCTCGACTGTGCTGTTAACACGCTTATGTATGCATGCACATAGTGCAAATGTCTGCTTGCCAACTTACCATGCTAGTCCCAAAACAATGGTTATTTTCCGCTGTTTTTTGCGTCGAAGAAAAGTGAAGCATCTACCTCTAGTTTTCGCCTCCGCGGGGAAATGAAAATGTCCCCACATGGTCAAACAATTTTGGTACTTTGAAGACTGTCTTTGCTCTTCGTTCACCAATCGCTCCAGCAGGCCTTGAGCTTCATTCGTTCCATCTTTGGTAGAAGAATTAAGAAAGGCCCAGCGGGGAGACTCCGGGACAATTCTGAGTTAGGGAAAATTATTGAAGTTAGCAAATTTCTTAAAGCCAGCCGATGGGGCTGGACTTGCCTATTGACTACGGATCGAACGGTCTGGGTTCGAGTCTCTATGCCATTGCGAAAAGCCGTCACAAAGCAGCTCGTCACGCAATCTCTTGATACGGACGTTGCGAGAAAAAAAGCGTGACGTACCCCAAGACGAAGGATGTTGAAGAATCTTCGAAATTTTCGGCATTTGAAAGACGACTTACCTCAATAACAAAATGGCAAGTAACAACGGAAATGTCATGGTCAGCATGAGTGATTCACGATTTTCGATTATATACGCGATCCCAGCCAATGTCACCGAAGCCAGGGTAGAGGAGGTCCAGATAATTAAAATCATAATCGCGCGGAGATTGGGACTAACATATTCAGCTGCCAGAACAAACATAATTGGAACAACACCACCTAAGGTAAAGAAAAAGAAATTGTAATAACCCATTCACACTAACATGCTAAACGTGTTTAAAAGTGGTTTAACTAAAAAAGGTTACAAATTAGTTGCTCCTACCATGCACACCCCACAACTTAACCAGGTAAAAACCTGTTCGATTAAAATATGTTAGTTCGCAAGGTAAAAGTGGTCTTCTCAAAATAGAAAATGAAACCTGATTTAGCTCAACTAGTTTAGTTGGTGTGAATGGGATATTAATTTCTTTTTAAATAATATTCTCGCGCAGGAACCTCCATTACAAGCTAGTTCCAGTTCAATAGCAAGAATAATGTGGCCTATTGTTTAGTTTTGTATTTTTGTTTCGTTTATTTTGTATTCAAAATGCGCCACTACCAACCATTGCTCACTTACCAACACGTTACCTAGCAACATCCATTTAGAAGGACGGGCGTTGAGTATTCAGAACCACGCGTTTGACAGAGAAAATACGATATTTACAAAGTTAAGCAAAAACCGTTACCCTACTTTTCGTTACTAGATAACAGTTCAAACATTCAGTGTAATCAGATATTCTTGGTACTGCGATCAGATATTTTTGAGTCCTGCAGGTTTTCAATTCGTAATAGGCATAATATTTAATATTCGAGGATGTATATTCCAGAGTCATTTCGCTTCTTTTTAGTCTCAACAGATCACCATTGTTATGAAAAATTTTACAGGGAGAACGGCTAAGCTACCTGGAGCCATCCAGCTCCCAGGCTCTGTAAATACGTAGTTTTCTAGCAATTTTGTCACATACCTATGCCAAAGGCAACAAAACCTCGTAGAACGTTAAAAACCATCCAATTTTGAAACGTAAAACCGCTTGTCAGCCCTCCCAAGAAAACAATAATAAGCGAAGCAAACAGAGCTTTAAGTCTGCCATAGGTATCTGCCACCAGGCCAAGGACCAAGGCCCCAAGTAACGTGCAAAGGTATCGTACCAAGCCAAGAGCAACTTCTTTATTGAATGAAGCAGTCTACAAACAGAAACAAATGTGATATACGGTGTTAGTTTCTAAAGAAACTGTTTACTTGCCTCGGCGGACGCGAGTTCACAAACAGTTACGGCGCTTAATCCCCAGGAGGGGTACTCGAGTGGGGCTTTACTGTGCTGTACGCTTATCAAAACCCTTATCGCCCTATTTAAGACTAAAATCTGTAATTTTCCCTATCCTAGTTATGACCTAACCCCACACTTGACGCCCTATTTATATAAGACCTCTCCCCTCAAGTGATACCCTGTTTAATACCTTTCTCATAACTAGTTCCCTAGTTCAGGCCGATGTTAACATTGCGAGGGCTTTTGTTGATAGTCTTATCGATAATGATAAAAACGTAGCTTCTTCTAAAAAAAAAAACACACCGAATTCAAGACAAGAGTGCAAACACTAAGCCCTGTTTCAGACCAATATGGCCAAAATCGATACCCAGTTTATGACCAAAACAGCCAAAAAAACCATACCCTTTGGGGCGCATATACTTGTATAGCACATATAAGAGAGCACCCCCCCCCCCCCGCGGGGCTTAATCTGACTATATCAACTTGATAAATAGGTAAGAAACAAGTCCATAAGCGCTTGTTGATCGATGTGTGGTAAATGAGCTATCCAGTCTGTTTGCTATCCGTGTTACAATGTTTTCGTTGCAGAAAATTTTTGTGTTCAAAGAAACGAAAACGAGACATAAACACTCCATTGTCTTTGTTCACCAATACATTTTCCTGTATAGCCGTGGCATGCCTTAAAACTGAAAGACATAAATTCATTTATTAAAATTTTCAACCGCAATGCGTTCGTCTTTTCCAGTGAGGTATCCTGTTATCTTCGGAGATTTTTCGTCTGAAATTAACGTTTGAGAAAGGCACAAAATATCCACCAGACATTGAAAAACACTTCAGAGAAACCCCCAGGTCAGTTTCTATTTCTCTAGTAATTTTGATGCTATCTTGACTAAAACTGCAGTAAACGGGGTAATCATTTCGCCTTTTTGGTACGTTGGGTGGAAAATATCTTAACGCATTATAAAGAGGAAGGAAAACTTGTCGTACTTTGATTAAGTCTATAGCTTTGTATTTATTTAATGAATAGAATTGTTAAGTTAGTCTGACATTTTTTCCCTATATATATATATATATATATATATATATATATATATATATATATATATATATATATATATATATATATATA